GACCCGTGTGCTTCATCTGAGAGTCGTGACCGGTGCTTCATCTGAGCGTCGTGACCCGTGTGCTTCATCTGAGAGGCCTGACTCGCCTTGGGTCCCGAAGGAGGCCGAATTCTGGGCTGCACATTTTGCCACTTCCTTCTGCCCCTTCTACGCACGCCACGGGGTTTCTCTGGCTGCCCCCTGGCTGGCTCTAGTTTACAGTTTAGTGCAGAGGTTTGGCTGGTGTGCCCGGCAGTGGTGTCTCTGGATTCATCCTGTTGGGATCGGATGCTGCTGAGCTCTGATGCCCTTACGTCTTTGTCTTCTGACGTGTTTTGAAAGCGCGCCAGGGCCTCTGAGCACTCGTCCTGTCCCACGCGTTCTCCCTCTGCCGGGGCTCTGGTGACACGCAGCAGGTTTGTAGTTAGGGTCCCTTGCAGTTCTGCTGGCTAGCGTCAGCCCCATTTATTTTTGTTGTTCAGATTAGGCAAATCCTACTGATCTGTCTTCAAATCCACCCATTCTTTCTTTTTTAATAAATCATCTTATCAGAGGCTCTTACAACTCTTATAACAATCCATACATCCATTGTATCAAGCACATTTGTACATAAGTTGCCATTTTCAAAACATTTTCTTTCTACTTGAGCCCTTGGTATCAGCTCCTCTTGTTCCCTCCCTCCCCAACCTCATGACCCCTTGATAAATTATAAATTATTATTATTTTCATATCTTATACCATCTGCTGCCTCCCTTCACCAACATTTCTGCTGTTTGTCCCCCTGGGGAGGGGGTGTTTATACGTTGATAATTGCGATTGGTTCCCCCCTTTCTCCCCACCTTCCCCCTACCCTTATATCACTATTCCCAGTACTGTACCTGAGGGTTTATCTGTCCTAGATTCCGTGTGTCGAGAGTTTTTATCTATGCCAGTGCACGTTCTCCGGTCTAGCTGGATTTGTAAGGTAGAACTGGGGTCATGATAGTCGGGGGGTGGGTGGGTGAGGAGCCTCAAAGACCCAGAGGAAGGTTGTGTGTTCCATCGGTGCCACCCATCCTTTCTTTCTGCTTTCTGGCAAATGCTAAGGCCATCCACTGAGTTTTAAAATTTTATAATGTCTGTGTTTCTCAGTTCTAACATTTCCCCTTGGCTCTTCTTTTGATTCCCTGTTTTCTGACTGAGATTTGATGGCTCCCTGGTTTCAGGTATGTGCAGAGTTACTCACTGACCTGCTGCGGCTGCTGCTGCTGGACATTTTGTCAAGTTACTGTTAGCCTCCCTCTCGTTTCTGGGTTGGCATTGATTTCCCCACCGTTCCCCTAGTTCTGGATCATGAGTGATGTTAATTGAAACCGGACATTTAAGGCACTGGATCTGGTTGGCTGGCCATCTCTGGCACCATGGTGGCCCCAGTTCATGACTGCCGACGGGGTGTGTGTATTGAAATCCAGCTTCCCGGCTGGCAGCCTCCTTGCTGAACCCGCCGAGGTGGTAGTGGAGGCAGGAGTCCAATCTCATTAGGGCCTTTTCTGGGACCTTCCAGTGTGAGAGTTGGGGTGCCTTGTTACCAACATGTGAGAGTCAAAGTCCAGGCAGCTCATGGGGTCCCACAGCCATGGGAAGTGAGGTCTCATTGCCACCTGGTGAGGCTGAGAGCCCTGGTCTGGCTTTCTCTGGCAGCATCCCAGTGAGGGTGCGGGGGGCCCCTGTGTTTCATCTGGGAGAGGGTAGCACTCCAGGGTCCCCGCCAGCCCAGGGGTTGAATTTTCTGTGGCGTTTGGCATGAGAGAGTGGCGATTGGGATTTTCTGTCTGTATGGGCTGCCCCTTCCTCACGCTACAGCGAGCTGGTTTCTGTGGGCCCTGCCCCTCCTTTCCTTAAGAAACATTTCTTTGCCCTCCTCCTTCCACCCTGGGCACTCTTCTTCCTCGATCTCTAACAACATATGGGAACCTCCTTCCCATGGCCTCTGCCTTCCATGACCTCCTGCTACAGCTGCAGGTCTGACCCACTCAAGAGAGGCAGGTCCCCTCTCTCAGGCTCCCCTTCCTGAATGGTAGGGCGGTAACCATCCCGCTGCACTGAGCAGGGCAGCGCCTCACACAGCTTTCCGCGTCATGCTGCCCGTCCCCCCCCCCTTCCCCCCCCACATGGGGGCAGGGACTCCCAGCTCGGGGGACTTTTTTCCCCGAAGCCTTTGGTCTTTCGGAGTGGCTGGCTCCTCTAGCTCCACATTAGAGACCAAAAGAAAGCCAGGGCCCAGCCTGCACTGTCCAGCGTGGCCCGCTACTCTCTCCTTCCTGGTTCTCAGCGTCTCGCGCTATCTGCTCCTCTTTCCAAAGCGCGAGCTGGGTCTGGTTGTGAGCGCCATTCACGTCTGGAGTGGTTTAACTTAATCCAGTGATAGATCCTCCATCTGTTGTTAGCTCTGCAAGCTGGACAGGGGGCCCACGGACCCCACAGAGGATCCTGGGGTAGCCATGACCTGGCCATGTCCCGTGGGCCCTCTGCCCTAGGCCATCTCCCAGCCAGAGATGAGTGCTGGGCACCCCCCAGGCCGAGACACTTCACCCGTCCACCCTCAGCCTGCCCTCCGTGGTGGGGGGGTCTGTGAGGCTCTAAGGTGGGGCTGAGACGGGGTTCGGAGGAGATCTGTTACCTTTTCTGTCACCAGCGTCTCCTCTGCAGCCTCGGGAGCCAGGAAGAACGCATTGTAGGCACCTGAGAGAGGGCCCCAGGTTGGGGTCAGTTTGGCTATCAGCAAACTTGGGGTGCACAGCCCCTGGTGAGCCTCATACGCACCGCTGTCAGGGGGTGCCCCGAAGAGCACAGCGCCGTCCTCGGCCACTAGCACTGAGTCCAGGCACAGGTAGGCTGCAGGGCAGGGTGGTGATAGTCAGGAGTTTCTTTCTTGAGGGTTAGGGCTGGTGGCCGCCAGGCACACTGCCCGGTCCCCCTGTAGCCACCAGCATCGCCCCCGGACTACAAGAAGTGAAATCCGTGGAAGTACCAGGCTGAGAAACAGACTCTGTCCCTGAGCTGGCCCAGAGGCTGGGGAGGGCCCATAGAGCTGCCTCTTTCACCAGCCCAATGGGAGGACCCCTGGTGGCCACATGGCTGGTGTGTGCTCTGAGCTCAGTGGGAACGGGCTAAAGCATGACAAGGGGACAGTTGGTTGCCCAGGGTGTGGCTGGACAGTGGGCAGCCAGGTGACCAATGGCCGTGAGTCCACATCACCCTTCCCCTTCCCACCCATCGTGACAAAACCCGTTGGGTTGCCCGATGGCTGGGCATTGGTGAGCCAGAGCTCACCTTGAGGATGGTGTTCCTAGTGCGGCCACAGCAGGGTTGTTGACTTAAGGAGGTGAGAGTTTTTCCCAATGCCCTCCCCCCCTCTACCCCTTCGCCTTCTCGGGCCCATGTGTCAGACTTGGCCCCATCCTCAGGTGGCAGTGAGGGGCCACCGGGACATGGGGACGGGCGAGGGTGGGCACCTGGGAACTGGATGTAGGTCTGCAGGGTGTGTAGACTCTCGTGGCAGAGTGCCCACAGCTCGTACTCCCGGAAGGGCCGGCCAAGCTTCACCAGGAGTTCCTGCAGGCTCACCCACTGTGGGGAGGGATGTGATCAGGCCGGGAGGCCCCGCCCCTGGCAAGAAGCAGTCCCTGGGCCTGGAGGGAGTTCAGCTTGATGGCTGCTCCCCAGTCTGAAGCTGCAGGCTAGGGGCGTCCCAGCACAGTGTCCTCCCTTCACCGCCTGCATGGCTCACTTGCACTGGCATCTGCGTCAGGCTTGTCAGCATGGTGTCCTGAAGCTGGCCCTGCCCTGAAAGGCCCAGGATGTGTCCTCTGATGGAGCTCAGGGCAGGGCGCTGCCTTTAAGCCCCCTCGCTCCAACGACCACTTCACCCCCTTAGCGGGGAGCCAGGCAGGGCTGGCTTCACTCTCCCCACCCCCGATCTGGGTCCCCGTGACCCTCTTATAGGGGAGCAGGAGAGCCGGGCAGGGGGCTGTTGAATGCTACCTGGACAGGAGGACCTCAGCCCTACTTCTGGGCTGTCCCCAAGGACAGGACAGTGGCTGAGGCAGCTCACAGTGCTGGGAAGGAAGTCATGCCTGGGGATGGGTGGACGTTCAGGTCCGACGGCTGCAGCAGCAGCGACCAGGCCCCAGCCAAACAGCTCCGCCTGACTGAGACTAGCGGGACTCCTGCTGGGCTCCTGCTGGAGATGACTGACCCAGGAAGGCCCTGCTTATCCCCCCACAACACCCCCTGTGGCAGGCAAGACCGAGAGACCCAGGTGTGCCCACCGAGCACAGAACTATGAAACAGCCCTGAGTGGGGGGCTGAAGGCTGTGACATCAGGGGAGTGGGGGAGACAGCCACCCAGACTGCAGTCATGGCTTCCTTCAAATCAAGCAGCCCCCGGAGCACCCGAACTGAGACCAGTGGGGGCACAGCCACATGGGATGTCAGGACTCAGAGCACAAGGGACCTCCCCTTCACCCCCCCAGTGGGAAGGCAGCCACCTACCTGCTCTGGGGCGGCGTCTCCCAGCTGACCAGCTCCTCCTGGAACACCCACCGGGCTGCAGAGAGCCCCAGGGTCCCCACCTGTGTCTCTGGGGCCCATGGGGCCAGGTAGGCAGCTGTCCTTGGCAGGGCCCTGGCCAGGGCAGGTCAGTGCTCTGTCTGGCTTTGAGAACCCTTCTTTAGCGGGGCCAGCTGTCCCTCCCTGGCTAGGGCGTCCGAGTCCCGTGCCACTGCTTGGAGCAGTCCCTGTCCCAGCTGGCCTGTCCCTGTGGCCCCCCGAACCATGAGCCTGGTCCTCCAGCCACAGTCTGTCCTTGGGCAGCGCCCTGCAGCCCACAAAGCCATTCTGCCCCTCGGACAAGTCCTTCCTGCAGTCAGCGGCGGGAAACAGTGAGGATGTGGGCAGCTGGCTTCTGGTCAGCGACAGGCAGAGGGGGCTGGCCTCGGGCCCCTCCACCAGGAGCCTCGGGAAGGTCTGCGCCTTCTTCAGGCGGCTTCTCCGAAGCAGGCCGTGGTCCAGATCTCCCAGGGGCCCCCTTGTGTCCAGCAGGAGGCCAGCCAGACGCTCGGAGCAGGGTGCCTGCCCGGCTGGGCTCTCACCATTCCTCACCGGTGCTGAGAGCAGGGGCTTTGGGGGTGGGGAGCGGCCACTCCCACTCCAGCTGGCCTCCTGTTTCAGGCTGCTGGAGCCCCCCACAGGCAGGCCTTGGTCGATGCCTCGCTCCCCGTTCTGCCCCTTGGACCCCGAGCTTCTGGGTGTGAATCGCCCCCTCCAGGCATTCTCACTGATCTCTGTGTGGGGAAAGCAGGTTCACCACTGTGAGCAGGGACTGGCCGCTCCCTCCGGCTCCAGTGCCAGCCCCAGGGAGGCCACTTCCTCCCTCGTTAATCAGCACATCAGTAATTAGTGAGGCCCTGCGGGCTCCCTCAGGCCAGACAGAGTTTCCCACTGGGCTTCCTCTGGGCTCAATCGAATGAGCGAAGTCCCTGAGGAAGCACATGCGTGTCTGTCCCCACTGCACAGTTGGCCCCCCTAGGGGACAGTCAGCAGGCCCTGGCAAACCCTGGGCTCCCTGTCATCCTCTGTAGCCTGTTTTTCACACAATGGCAGTGTATGATCCCCCACCCCCCAATCCACTCCAGCTTGTGGGAGTGTGCAATCCATGTTCATGTGTGTGCATATGAATTGAATGTGCATGTCGGTGTGCACGTGCGTGGATCCACATGTCTTTGTTTCTAGGTGTTTGTGTGTATATGTGTCTGTATTCATGGGTGTATGTAAGAGATGATGTGGATAACTGAGTATATCTATGTGCACAAGTGTGTGTGTCCATGGGTCTTTGTTTGAACATACATGTGTGTTCATGGATCTCTGTGTACCAATGTATGTATATGTGTGTGGGTCTATGTGCATGTATGTGTGCACAGGTCTGTGTATACCTGTGCATATGTGCACATGTTTGTGCATGAGCACCTTGAGCCTGCACGTGTGCATATGCCTGTGTGTGCATGCACATAGGTCTGTATGTATACATGCTCTTGTGTATAGGTCTGTGCGTGCATAGGCCTGCATATATGTACACATGGATGAGCTTGTGTGCACATGTAGGTGCATATGCATGGATTGGTGGCTGGGTCTGTGCAGGAGCTTGTGTGTGTACGTGTGTATTCATGGACAGGGCTGTATGCATATATATGTGTGCGCACAGGTGCATGTGTGCGTACATGTGTGCACACTCACCTTGCAGGGCTCCGAAGGACTCGATGGAGAGCACCCTCCTCCCGACGGCTGAGAGGCTGCAGCACAGGTGGCAGGAGGACACGCTCTTCATCCTCTCTTCACACAGCGCGATGATGCTCTGCGGACACAGCCAGGTGCGGGCCACTCAGGACACCCTGCTGCCTAGGACTGCTGCTTGCTGGTGCAGAAAGAAGTGCACACACACACACCCCCCCTCCAGCGATCCACTCAGCCTCACATCTCAGACACATGGAGTAGCTGGAAGTCTTGTGGGGAACCAGATGGCTCACCCCAAAGTTCCAGGGGAGCCTGGGGTGGTGGTGGTGGCTCACCTCCAGGGCAGGCCGATCCCCCGGCTTCTCCGCCTGCATCCGGTTTAGCAGTGCTTCCAGGTCGGCGCTCAGGTTGGGCTCAGGCTCAGGCTCAGGCACGTACTCCATGGCTGCCTTCAGCGTGGCCCCCAGGGAGTAGATGTGGGCCTGCAGAAACCCAGGCTCCAGTCAGTGCTGGGCAGTGCCAGCCAAGGACCGGCACCACCGGCCCCTGCTGCCCCTCTGAGACTGGCCTACTGGGCTTTGGAAACCACAGCGATTGAGAAGTCCAGGTTTTCTCTAAGGCTCTGGCGGATCCTGCTCCATTTATCCCTTGCTCCCCAGTTCCTCTCATTCTCCCCATCAGTAGTTCGTGACGGGATGTGCCAGCCGTGAGAGCTGCAGCAGGCCCTGGGCCTGTGTGTGGACACCGACAATGGGCTCCCGGTAAGCAGATGTGGAGGCCGGAGGGGGACAGGACGGCCACTGTCATACCACCTCTGCCCCGCGTCTTGCTACCCCTAGCCAGCACACAGCAATGAGGAGGAGGAGCTGGAGGGATACCATTTAGACAGGAGGGGAGAATGCTGCCTTCTGGAAATTTAAACTGGTGATTTGATTAGTTCAATAAAGCAAAGTGCATGGCGACGTGATTGGGGATAGTCAAGTAATTGAGCAGTGTGGCAGGTACAAGATTAAGTCGTGCAAGTGAGCTGCCTTTCTCTAGACTGGCCGTGGACAAGTGGGCAGTGTGATTCAAAAGGTGACCCCCGGGGCAGAGTCAGGAAACCGCAAGCTCCCGAGAATAGGTCTAGTGCGAGTACTCAGATCTCCTGAATGAAAATCTTAAAAGGTGATTAAAAAAACATCAAGCAGGACAGAAGCCAAAATTTCCAGTCCTGTCCTGTCTTCCCGGGGACCTCCTGGGGGCTTGAACCTCCAAACTTTCAGTGAGCATCCAAGAGTTCTACCATCACGCCCCACCAGAGCCATAGTGGTGTGGTGGTGAGTTGGGCTGAGATCTGCATGGCATGCAGTTCAAAACCAGCAGCAGCTTCTCAGGAAAAAGACTGGGCTTTCTCCTCTCAACGTTGATAGCCATGGAAACCCAGAGGGTCACTCGGAGCCAGCACTGACTCGATGGCAGGGAGAGAGCTCACACACAGACCCTTAGTGACATAGTGGCTTCAGAGCCACCACTGGGCTGCTAACTGTAAGGCCAGCAGCTAGAATCCTTATCAGCTGCTCCTCCAGAGAAAGATGAAGATTTCGACTCCCATACAGAGTTGGTTTGGGAAACCCACAGGGGCAGTTCTACCCTGTCCTAAATGAGTTGGTATTGGCCGACGGCAGTGAGTTTTAGTTTTTTGAGAACCCACAGAAGTCAAAGCTCAACTCTTGAAACATTGGAGAGCTCGTGCCTGGAGGAACAGGAAAAGGCAGAAGGCGGAGCAGCTGGCCCTGTGCAGGACAGGCCAATCCCTGCAGGGAGCAGAGAGGTGTGTGGGAGGGCCGGGATTCAGGCCAACCCCCACCAGTGAGCGAGGCGCTTCCCTTACATTAGCTGTAGTGAATCCGCGCTCCAGGCCCCAGGCTCGACGACGTGGTGACAAGCTGTACTGTGTGGGCACAGCTCAGTTGTCACCCCCAGTGGGAGAAGAAGGGCGCTGGGTGGGCCCACGTGCCTGGTGGTCAGTACCTTGCCAGGTGCAGGTGTCCCACTCACCTCAAACGTGTTCCCAGTCACATCAAACTCTGGGGGAACGAAGGCGCCCTCAGGGTCATCTAGGGAAGAAAAGAGAGCCATGCTTACAGGTGTGCTCTGAAGTGCAGCGTGGGGGGCACGCAAGGGCTGGGCAGAGACAGTGACCCCCGGTTCTGGCCACTGTCCCATCGCCCCTGTCGGAGGGGCAGCGGTTCTGCCAGGAGACTCCCTCCCTCCATTGCCGACAGGTGAGATAAGGACCCCACCATTGATTACGGGAGGGTGATGCTAGATTCCGGGGGCTGGGACCTGCGCCCACTGCGGGAACAGCAGGCCCCTCCCATCTAGGCCCCACCACCGTGATGCCTAGGGAGCAGCCGCCAACCGCTTGCTGCCAAGTTCATCCTTCTGCCTGAGGCCCCTGGGACCCTCCACCCCCACCCCGCCTTCAGCACTCCTCTGTCCCATCCGTGCTCTGCCCACAACCTCTCCAACTGCCCTTGGCCCTGCCCCTTTCACATCCCTCTGCCGTGCCTTCCAAGCCCCTGGCCCTGCCCACACCCCTGTCCACTCCCCCCCATCCCACCTGGATCCCACCCATCCTGCTTAGGCCCGCCTTCTGTGCCCCATCCCCGCCCCACCCCTTAGTCTTACCCAGAGCCCCTCCACCTACCCACCCCACCAATCCTGCCCTTTCCCTCCACCCCACACTCTGTTTCGCCCAGCTCACAGCCCCATTCCACTCTCCCCCGTTCACAGGTCTGCCCAGCGCCCGGCCCCGCCGCGCAGTCCGCTGACCGCTGAGCTGCTCCATGAAGCACACGTTCCCGCTCGTGTTGAAGGCCAGCGTGTCCGGTGTGATGCAGAGAGTCCGGAAGATGGCCGAGTGTGCTACGCTCCGCATGGACAGGCAGCACTCCCGGCACACGGCCCAGGCTTCCTGCTCTCGGAGGCCGCTGTCCCGCAGGGAGAGGATGTCAGCCAGGGACACATTCTCCTGCCAAGACAGGCCAGACTGGAGCGGGCAGCTGCGAGGTGGCCTTCCAGGGCGGGCCACTCTGCAGGGCCATGGAGGCCAGTGCTGGCGCATGGCGCTGGGAACCGGGCTTGAGGCTTGTGTATCTTACGGAGGTGGAAGCTGGCAGTTCGCTGGGTGCCACCGTGGCTGGCATCTACTCCTAGACTGACTGCTCACACCCTGAACCTGGCACTCAGATCCAACTCACACAGGTGCATGCAAGGCCATATGTGTGAACCCACCACACAGGACACACCAGCACTCTCCACGTTCATTCAACACATGTGCACCCACATGCTTAACACATGTGTTCACACAGGCACATGTTCACTTCTGCACATGTACACTTCCTCCCACCCACCCCAACCCCAGGCTCAAACATTCACACTCACACGCAACAGACATTTGGACAAGATCCTCAGCTGGCTGAAGAACACCTCCCTGGTGTGTTTATATGCGTGTGTGAGCACGCATGTGGGCCCCACCTGGAGGGAGCTACAGAGCAGAAAGATGGAGCAGGACGGGTGGGGTGGGGCGCGGTGCAGTCAGGAGAATGAGTCCCTGGAGAGGGGACTGAAGGGTGGGGGATGAGAGTGGGGAGTGAGAGTGGGAGGGCAGGTTGGAGGGACCAGTGTAGGGATGAAAATGGGGGTGAGGGAGAGACCCAGAGACCCAGCTAAGTACTACTCTTCAAATACAGTCCAGTGCCAGGCCCTGGATGCCGTCCTCTGGTGCTGGGCGGCAAGGACCCCCATAGCCACAAAGGGATGTGAAACCAGAGATACACAGCCAGAACCGGAGGCATTCCTCCAGACACGGCGTGGCCAAGCGTCTGGCCCAGGGGTATGGGACAGTGGGCTGGGGGACGGCGATGGGCACAGCCCAGCCTTTGGTTTCCTCCTCTGAGCCGGGCCGTTGCAGCCCTTCCAGCCCTTTCTTTGTGAGGAGGAGGGGTGAGCACCTGGCTGGATGTGGGCTGGAGAAGGTGCCTCAGGCTCAAGCATGAAGGGCCTCAGGTCTCCTGAGCTGTGAGTCCCAGTGGGGCCCCAGACTGTGCCTGGAAGGCAGAGACTCAAACCCAGGACCAGCACTGAAGCGGGCTACACCCAGGACCCCTCACCTGCCTTGCTGGCTGCCCAGCCTCCCAAGAGAGCCTCCGTCTGGGTTGACGCAAACTGGGCCCCCCACCCTTCGCCTGCATCCCCAGGACCACAGAAAGTCCCGCCCTTCCTCAGAATGCTTCCAGGCTCAGCTCAAGGGGGCCTTGGTTCTTTACACACAGGCATGTGCACACACAAGAAACAGGAATGCACATGCAAGCACATGGACACACCTCTACATATATGCAACACACATGCCTGCATACAGTGCACACATACAGCACACATGCATACAACATGCACCACCCACATGATATACACATACAGCAGACACATGCACATACTGTACACACATAAGCACAAGCACATGCATGCTCCCCACAACATGCATACTCCCCACAACATGCAACACTCAACAAATCACATGTTCATATCTGCACAACTTGCATACACATGGCACATACACACATACCACACTACAACACACATGGATGGTTCTAGTCACTGGGAGCGTAGCTCACAAGGGCTGCCCTGGTGAGCGAGAGAGCCGCTTGCACCAGCTGCAAGCCCCCCTCCCACTCTGCCCCCCCACCCCCCACCCCCGCCCTGGCTCACATCTCCAGAGCTGCCTACTGGAGAAGATGTTGACAAGCATGTGCAGCCCAAAGAGGAGCCAGGTGAAGAATGGGTCCAGGGTAGGGGGCTCGCAGCTGGGGGTGGGGTGAGCACTCATCTTCTCAGGGAAGCCAAGGGCCCACAGGCTCCCATGAGAAGGGGTGAATTTCCACCTGCAGTGCTGACGGAAGGTGGACTTGGCTTATACCCTTTCCAGAAAGGGGACGAGGAATGCAATGGGCCCCCCTTAGAAGCCAAGTTCTGGGGGCTCCTTTTGCCAGGCCTGGCCCATGGCCCCAGACTCTGGCCCTGCCTGCTACATGGATCTCAGCCAGGTGGGCCCTCTTCCTGAATTCCACGGCTCGTTTGCAGGGGTGGGTGAGGTGTCCGGTCAGGGACCAGGAAGAGGAGGAAGCCAGGAGTCTGGCCACCGTGGCTCCAGCAGATGCACCCCACCCCAGCCATATGATAGACATTGACTCCCACCCTTCAGGATTCCTCAGGATCAGCCTGAGTGAGCCTCACTGCCCGGCGGGTGCAGGCTGCAGGGGCTCAGCCCTGGTCAAATGAGAACAGTGTAGCTTCAGGCTGCTTGCCGGAGCTTAATGGGTCATGGAAGACATGGAAGGGGATGTGCTAGGAATGGCAAGGCCAGTGCTTCCAGCAGATGCTGCCCAGCCAGCTGCACTGCCAAGGTACCATGTGCCCAGCATGCGCGAGGGCACACAGGCCAGAGGCGTGCTACCTCCTACCCTTCAGTTTCCCACCCTACCCGCATACTAAGACTGCCCACTGTGGAGGCTGCACCCTGGGTATAAGCTGCTCCATCCAGCCCAGTCCCCATGTCCCCATCTGGGCACCAGGGGCTAGGAGCTATAGTAGGCACAGTCCCTGTAGGATGGGCAGAGCCCTGGCCCTGCACAAACCTGCTACGCCCCCCTGCAGAAAGGAGAGTGCTCAGAGGCTGGCTGTCCCTGTCCCGAGATTCTGGAACCCCAGTCAGGCCTCTGTGCCCACAAAGCCTGCCTGCAGCTGGAGGGTTTGTCCCAGAGCCTGAGTCACTTGGCGTGCGCCGAGAACTCACTCGTAGCCAGCTGATTTTGGCCACCTTGGAGCATGCCCCATCTTGCCAGCAGACTCTTGCCTCCACTGAGACTACCCCCATGCAGTTAGACCCCCAGGCCTTGGCTGGGCACCATAAGCTTCCACCTCTCCAGCTCAGTCAGTTTAATATTGATTACCCACCAAGCTCTGACAGACGCTCCAGATACGCACCAGCTTCCTTTCAGAAAGGCTTGTAAATAGCCCATGGGGTGTAGAGGGAGTGGCTCTGCTTCTGCAGGCTGCCCCTGGGGGCTGAGTGCTGAGGTCAGGGTCAGGGTCCCACTAGGTCTAGCTCTTGGTCCACAGCAGGTGCCAGGAATGTGCACACAGGAGAGGAAATGCCACTAACCCTGGGATTGGGGACAGGACTGCCTGACTGGTGTCACCCTCATCTCCAAGCGGGTCCTTCTTGGTGACCCCCTGCCCTCCCTAGCTGCTTTTCTTGCCCTCCAGCTCCCTGCCTGGTGGCACATTCCAGCCCTGGTCCCACACCCTATTCTGGGAGCCCCACAGAGCTGTCTCCCCATCTCCTGCCTGTTGGCCCAACTGTAGGTGGTTGGGCACCTGGCAGGGGTACAACCTGGGGATCTCCAGCAGGCTGCCAGAGGTGTTTATGCAGTACCACTAGCTGTAGTGGGTGAGCTTAGGGAGATGACTGGGGCTCGGAGTGTGGGTCCCTTGGGCCAGTTTCCTAAGGAACTGGCAGGGGGAAGGCGCCAGGATCTGCTGCCAACCTTATACCGTCACCGGCCTGGCCACAGCACCACCCTGACCATCCTGGGGTCCCCCACCTTCCCAACTGCACACTGGTGACTTGAGTCTCCCTGGGGTGCTCTGGGGGAGGGTCTTTGAGGACCTGGGGTAGGTGTCCGACATCTACTTCTTGATCTTGTTTCATGATTAGCTGTTAAAGTGCTAGTCGGTCGTGCCGGGAGCTGCCCTTTGACCTCAGCTTCCTGGCTGGGGGAAGAGGGTGGGGTGCTGCAGGCTCCTCAACTCCTTGCCTTGTCTTACATAGGGTGGCCTTCCTGCAAGGAACAGAGTCCTCACAGTGGCTCGTTGGACCAGTCTGAGTAGCTTTTGGGCTGCAGGGTTCTCAGGAGCACGGTTCCTGCCCTCCCCCCCCCCCCAGCAAGGGCTGGGCAATACCTTCCCCAGCGGAGGCACATGAGGTGGGGCAGGGTCCCTCAGACTTGTTGCTACAGCCCCAGGTGAAGGAGCCCCACCCCACTGTGTGCTGCTGTCGGGTAAAAGAACTCTCCCCCTCTCTCAACAAACACCCCAAACCCACTGCCGCTGAGTCAATTCTGACTCAGAGCAGCCCCCCCCCACTTGTCTCTGAGGCTGGAAAGCCCCCATGAACAGACATCCTCTCTTTTCCCCGGGGAGTGGCCGGAGGGCTGTGAACCTCTGACCCTGTGACTTGCTTCCCACAGAGGTCCTGCCCAGAGGCAGGGAGCTGTAGGGAGTGTTCCCACCAACAGAGGATCCCCGAGGAGGGTGGCCAGACAGCCCCACACTTGGGGCCACATGGGCCTGGGTTTAGGCCATGACACTGGCCTGGCTGTGCCCATACTGCTAGCCCTACTCCCTGTGCCTGGCACAGAGGGTCCCTCAAGGCCAGGGCCAAGGCACAGAGCAGCTCTGTGACCCACTAGGGTCTGGCTTGTTACTCAGGAAGCAGGTTTGAAGGGGAAGTTAAAAGGGCTGTTGGGGAGGTTTTGAAGGCTGTGGGTGACCCGTCCTCTCCTTTCCATCGGAGCTGCGGGCACAACCATAGGTCTGTGTGTCCCCTGGCCTCGCCACCCTGCAGCTGTCCCTCAGTCAGCTCCAGGCCATGGCGGGGTGGGAGAGCTGCTTGCTTTGCCCTCGCACTGCCCGGGATGGTGAATAGCAGGCTCCACACCAGAGGAGTGAACCAGGACCCCCAGCTCAGAGTGCCACGGCTGTGGGCTTTGTCGGGAACCAGCCGACTCTCCCCAAGGCCTCGGGCCAGTACTGTCACCATTTGGAGGGTCTTTGTTGATCCAGAAACACTTAGAGAGGAGGGGGCTCTCAGCTGCAGACTTGTAGCACAGGGGGCGGGGGAGGGAGGGCGCATCTGCTGGGCGACTGGGCAGGCCTTTGGGTTCAGACTCCTGGCCTGGGAGACTGCTGTGTCCTCTGGGGGCCCTCCTGTCTACCCCCGCCCCCTCCGAGCTGATGACTGACCTCAGACTACAGTCTGTGGGGCACTGGGTGAGGGATGGGGGGCTCTCGAGCAAGGTACGGGGCAGACGCGGACCCAGGGGAACAGGCACACTGGACTGTGGGTTTTTGGCCCAAGCAATGGGCAGGTGTCTAGTGTGACGAAGGTGGCTGTGACCTCCTGGAGCCAGGCCTGGTGCCCCCTCCCCCCACCCGTTAGCTGGAAGCAGCCACTGACGCTGAACAATGTGTCCCCTGGGAGCCTAGCCCCGCCGATGGTGGCCCTCCATCATCTCTGTTGTTTTGTGCGTCCTGCTGCGCAGGGGGCAGTCAAAACTGACCCAGTGCCACTGTCCCCACGTCATCACCAGGAGCCCATCCCTTGGAGCCCAACCCCTGGACCAGCTGCCCACCCACTTCCTATTTGCCCCCTACCCCCCAGCATCCCCTGGCGCCCATCCTCTCACAGGAGATGAGCCAGCTCAAAGGTAGTGGATAGGGCCCATTCCGTGCCCGCGGCAAGAACCCCGGTCCTGGGCAGGGGGAGCTCCCTCGCCCTCCGGGACCTGCCGGGGCGCTCCTGGGGCAGGCGGGGCTCACCTCGTCCTCAGGTAGCGTGGGTAGCGGCTGGAAATCGTAGAAGTCAAGGTCTCTGGCGTCTTCGTCGTAGAAGCCCCTCGCGGCCCGCTCTAAGGCCTGCATGTTGCGCGGGGCCGGAGCCCGGGGCGCGGCTGGCGCGGGCTGGGGGTGGCGGTCAAGCGCTCTCGGCCGGCGCTCGGGGTCGCAGCCTGCGCCGCTCCTCTCGCCAGCTCGGCCGCTGCCTTTGCGCCGCGGGCTCGCCGGGCTGGGGCTCTAGCTCCGGGCGGCTACGCGCGCCCAGCCGCCATGGCAACGCGCCACCGCGGTCGCCGGTCTCCGCCCCGCCCCTCCCCACCCCGCAGTCTGCCGGGCCCGCCCCCCTGCGACTCCCCTGTGCCCCCTGCACGCACCCCCGCCGCCGGTCGCAGTGCCGCCCCAGGGGGAGGGGAGCGGGCGCGCGCGGCTAGGTCTTACAGGCTGCGGGGGTGGGGGGTGGCGGGAAGGGGTGGAGGCGGTGGGAGGACGACAGCGGCCACCAAGAGGCTGAACTCGGGCCCGGTACTTGTGGGCAGAGAGCCCAGGGGGCGTTCGGGAAGAATGGGTGCTTCGCGGGTGTCCTCGCCCCTTCCCGCGCCAGAAGCAGGGTCGCTTGGGGACAGCGGTACCTTTCTGGGGGTGCGCCCAGAGCTGCGGCCTGTGCGTGTCGTGACTGTGTGGGGGCGGGGCAGTCTGGGCAGCCAGGGTCCCCAGAGGCGGCGCCCGCCGCAGGTGCTGGAGAATGAGCTCCATTTGGGCAAGGAGCCTGAGCACCCCAGGAAGAACACCTCTCAAATCACCGGCTCCCTTCCCCCACCTGGTCCCCCAACTATAGGCAGAGGAGGGCTGTCGCAGTCCCCACTAGGGGTGTGTGTGCTGCAGTGGGTCAGGTGGAGACCAGGCATCTGCGGGAGCAGGGCAGGGGGAGCATGTGAGGAGAAAAGCCGGCATGCCCAGCTTTGACCCGGCCCTAGCTTGAGTAGAGTTGATGGTGGTGGGCCCTCCACTGCCTCCTCCCCGCTGGGTGTCTGAGACCCAGGAAACAGAGGCCCCACTAGCCCTTTACTCCCTGGGAAGGCTCTTGGCAGTCAGACTTAGGTTAATCTAGGTCCAGGACAGCCACCTGCCCTCACCCCAGCAGAGCCAAGACAACACCCTGCCCCCACCCCACCCACCAGCAGAGCCAGGACAATCCCCAGCCACCTCTAGGCCCAGCCAAGGACCAGGACAGCCTATCCCCTACCACTCCCACCCCTCCGGCCTCCCACCAGCCTAGGAAATGACTAGGATAACACCTCCAGCCCAGAAAAGGGTCAGGACAACTCTCACAGGTCAGAACAGGCCCCTCAGCACCCCCACAGCCCAGAGGAGGGCTGGGTAGCCTCCCACCCACTTCCCATAGGGTGGAGGACAACCTTATGTGCTGAGGCCACGTGCAGATAACAGGGCTACAGTCAAAGCTTGGGTGGGTGAGTAGGTGGGGGCAGGTGCTCAGGGCCAGCTGCCAGTTCCCTGCCTCATTGGTCCTGTCCCTGGAGCCCTGCGGGACCCAGCAGACAGCAAGCACTAGTTCCTTCATGAAGGAGGCGGTGCCTGGGCAGGGGAGGGGAGGTGGGGACCAGGAGGGGCCAGGAAGCCTCAAACCTGGAGCCAGGCAGCCCACCATGCTAGTGCTGATCTTTACCAATCCAGGAAACGGGGCTACAGGCATTGTCCAGTGGGGGCAGATGGAGACAGCTCTGGGTTGGAGGAAAGGCCCACCCATCACACCTGAGCCCCCTGTGGCCTTCTGCATGGGTTCAGTGGCAGCCTACCCTGCCCAACTGGGAGGAGGCTGGGACCCATCCTTAGACCCATTCTAGGGGCCCACAGAGCTGAATGCAGAGCCCAGCTGCCCTTGGCTGGGCACTGGAGCGAGGCTCTCTCATTCCCAGGAGCCAGGAGCCCTCTGGAGGATCCTAGAGCTGGGGGTTGTAGAAAAGTGGGCTTGGTCTCTGGCTTTCACATAGCCCTCTGGGCTTAGGGATGGGATCGTGGATGCTGAATGGGGCCGGGGGTGGGGGTGGGTGGGGGGTGAAGGTGAGCCCATGGTTCAGGGAGTGGTGGAGTCAGTCTTGTGGGCCTGGTGCCACCCTGCTGCTTCTGCAACCAGTACATCCAGTTTGAGGGACACAGGGGAATGTCCAGTACTTCTGGTGCTGCGTCAGCTTGGCTGCTGCACTTTTGCCAGCCCCAGTGGCCTCCCTGTGGGCAGGGGCCCTGGCTGGGCCAGCCTGGCAGGTGCTGGGCAAGGCCCTTTAGCAGTCCGTTTGAGGCCTTGGGTCTTCGGTGTTCAGGGTGATGGGGAGCTTCTTCTTGTGAGCTGATGGGTGTTTGTGTATTGCTTGTGTTTACGGGAAGCTTTGCTCCATGGGGACGGGAGGGAGGCTTTGGTCCTGTGCCTCGAATGCAGTGGGCCCTCCATCAGGCTGGGGGTGAGGACAGGGCTCAGCTCAGAGCGGGTGTGGAGCAGGCTGGCCCTGTCATCTTCCAGAGCAGGTGAGGATGGAGACACCAGTGGAGATGTGGGCAGCCCAGTGGGGTCAGGCCTTCTGTGACCTAGGTGATGGCCTGCCAGGGTGGGCCTCTCCCTGCCACACCCCTTTCTCCAGACTCTCAGGGGAGGGTAGAATTCTGCAGAAGTTTCCAGACCCCTAGGCCCAAGTTCCAAGGCTGGACGGCTCTCTGGTCTTCACACTGCCTGCCTCTGCCCTCCCTGCAGACGTTGTCTCCTCTGTCGTCACAGGTGGTCCCTGGCCAAGCTGCCCTCACCCCTATTTGGGCTGTGTGCTATTCTCTGGACCTCCCCGGACAGGGCCCCCCTCCTCTGAGCCTGCCTAGAGGACACGTTCCTGCCTCGGGGCACTGCCTGCGTGGGTGGTGGCTCAGTCCACCCGCTGAGTGGAGAGCTCGTCTCCCCAGAAGGGATTTTGAAGAGTGGTCAACCCACTTGTGTTTTCTGAAGTCAACATGTAATAAAATAAAAACTAATTGCAAAGTGTAGTTTCTGATGTAAACATTGACACGTTGGAAAAACAAACGAATCCTCTGTGTAAGATATCCAAGAAGTGAAATAGCAAAGTGAGTTTGAGACCCACCATCCACCATTTAAAAATAGACCGCTCTTCTGCAAAGTCACAGGCTTTCCATCACCACATGTTCTTAACTTCATTACCGTCCTCTAATTTTGCTCAGAATTTTATCTTCCCATAAAACACATATGTGAACGCTTCTAGGCACCTCCACGCCAGCCCCGTGGGACCTAGCCACACTGGTACCGACGGCAGCCCCAGGCTCGGGGAAGCCCCTCACCAAGGCCTCCACATGCCATGTTCCAAGCACAGGTGAGGTCTGTGGGAACAGACAGCACTACTAGAACATGGGCGTGGGGGCAGCGCTGGTACTGTGCTGAAGTGGTGTAGTTTGCTGGGAGCTTTTCTTCACATTTTCAGAAAAGTGCGCGTTCTACTATGAAAACCTTTCCCTTTACTTCCTGACTAACGCACAACTTGGCTTAGTAACACCAATCGGAGTGGGATTTATTTGTGATCTCAGAGCTACTTGCACCCCAACAATGGAAGTCTGGGCTCAAAAGCTGCTTGTCTACCCATGTTCATTACCCACTCCCCCATCTAGAGGGACAGGCAGGATTCCTGAGCACGTGATTCTGAATGAACTAAGCTAGCCACAACCAGCATTTAGGTGGGCCCCTTACATCAGACGTCTAGCCTTGATGGACCAGTTGACGTGGAAGTGTGTTGGTGGCTCCTTGGGCTGGGGGAGGGGGCGGTGGGCACGTCCTGCTGAGGAGAGAAACTCAGGCTCTCTTGATGAGGGGAACCAGACAGTGGTGACCGGGCCACTACACAGCGCTTGTTAGTGACACTGCAGGGTCAGGACGTGCACACTTGTGCACAATACAGCATTCAGATGCACCTGCGGGCTTGAAGAAATGGAGAACTAATGAATAACATATTCTAAGAGCACAGACCCCCTGCCAGCCCCAACCCCCACCAAAAGGCTGATTTTGCAGTGTATCCTTTGCCAATGACAATGTTTTTCAGGAACTCCCAAAGAGGCGCGGGGCTGTGATGTGCCGTTAGTGGGTTCTGACTCACGGAAACTGCAGCCGGGGACACTGCCTGTTGTCCTCACAACCATTGCTATGCGGAGGCACCCCACCCAGTCCCCCAGCAGTGGTTACATTGTCACAGTGGCTGTTGTCCTTGTTCTGTTCCGGGGCTCTGCCAGCAGGGGACATTGGAGGGCTGCTGCAGGGAAGGAAGACCCCTCTCACTGTTCTCCCTCCCTGGGGGCACCTCTGATTCTGATTTCAATGCTGGCTGGGGCTTCCAGACCAGGACTAGTGGACAGCACCCCCCAGGAGGCCCTTTCCCCCTCTTCCTTCTGCCCTCTGCTTCCTGAAAGGCCCCCGGGCACCTTGACAGCTCCCTTGCTTTTCAATCCTCCCAGACCTTGGAACCCACGAGTGTGTCTGCCCTCCCTTTGACGTGATGCTTCCCTGCGGGGCCCACGCCACCCATGCTGGATCAGCACAGCACGCCAAACGGGCAGGAGGGCCTTAAGTGGGCGCACATGGCTGTGCCCGATACTGAGTGGCTGAAGTTTCTTAACAGACATGCCCTGCATACTTCTCGGGCTGTGGGAGAAGAATGCAGGCAGGACCATGATGCCCACCTGGTCTACAATAGGGGTTGATGCCATGACCTCGGCTGAGAGGCCTGTTTTGAGAGATTTTCCCCCAGGGAAGGTTATACAGGTAATACCTTGCTTCCAGAGCGGTTGGCAGGATGAGTATTGCTTTGAAATCTTTGAAACCAGCTGGACACCAAAGGACCTCAGGGGCCCTTCCTCTAGAGTTCCCTGCTTCCAGATCCTCTCGGAGGTTCTGGTCCTGCCCCGGGCATCCCTGGCCAGTCTCTCCAATTGTCACCCCTTGAGAGGGAAGGTAGGATGGCAGGTGCTGAGCACTGCCTCCACAAAAGGGTGGGGGCTGGACGGCTCACTCTGCTAAATGTGCAGAGTCCGCCTACGTTTGCACCCCTGGAATGGGTCTGATTGACTGGGAGAAATGACCCC